CGTAATTAACTACAATGACCATAATCCATTGGGCGCCTACTTGTCCGGTCTGCGTGCGGCAGACACAGAGAGGGAGAGACTGAAGAACGCGCAATAGAGAGGGACAGCGAGCAGTTGATTAGTGAGGTACCTCTATCTGAAAATACATGATCTAAGTGATTGATAGTTGGTTTTTAACAGTCATTAAAGTATGCCTTATTTACTTTGAAGAACTACTAAAATAGTGATTTAGTCAGACAGCATAGGCAGCAGATCTATAGAGATGAGATGATGACTTGGAATTAAATAATAGTAATCAAATCAAATAAATATAATATACACAACAACTAAAATATTATATTAAAGTAAAGTCATGTGAATAAATGATGGTTAATAAGTGATAAGCAGTAATGAACAGTCACTACCATCATGGGACTTTTATTTATTGTTTTATTCTGTGTTGTTACAGCATTCAACCCACATAATGCATAGTGCATTTAATATATATGTGCTTTTTCATACGGGTCATTCCATGAAAAGAGTGCCTTTTGTGTCCCTTTTGATATTTAAAGTAATCACTGTGCACCAATATTGAATTTTAAAAGCCTGCTATATTAAATGAAGTGCCCTTTAATATAGACCACATGGAGAATTCAAGAAATTAAAATACATTTTAATATGAATAAAGACTTGCTAAAGTGCAAAATTCTGCATTTTGACGCGTCCCTCCTCCTTCAACCCCCAACCCTGTGTCACTTCTAGGAAGATGGTTTGTCAACCCACTGTAATCCCAAAAGTATGGTCCAGTGGTCACCATCATGTAAAGCACCATGTTATTTGGTAAATGCGTTGACTAAAGGTCATTTATAATTATTATTAGATTTACCATGTGATTAGTCAATTTCATCTCTTGTCCCTCATTTTGTAGGGTCATAACATTTTTGATCATGATTATATTCATTTAACTTCTTCCTCATTTTAGTCAACCATGTTACATGAAAACTTCATTTATACGGTGAAACTATCTTTTCCTTTTAAATATATTTTTTCCAAAAGAAACATTTAACATCTAATAGTCAAATCATAGTGTAAAAGCCGGTGAGCTGATTCTACTATTTTTGGCAATTTTCTGGTGTTTTGTGGTGGAAAACTGAGAGGGTCGAGCATAACACCTCAACCCTGTTACCCATAGATAGGACAGGCTAGAAATGTAGTACTTTTTAATTTATTTATTTTTGCATTCAATTGTGCCTCCCTGTTACCCACAGCAAGCTTCCATTCCCCCTGTCACAAAGGTTTTTATGGCTGGAAATCGTCAACCCTGTTATGGTCAACCATCTTACTTTATTTGGCACTTAATAGGCAATTACTATAGTCTTTTTTTCATTTAACCCCTTGAGATGGGACATTTATTATTTTTTTTTTTTTGGCAGAATGTTAAAAAAAAGTGCTCTTTGTGGCAGAATGTTAAAATGAGGTGAAATCAAACGGGTTTTTTTGGACCAAGTTACACTTCTCAAAAAGCACCGAATTGGTGGAACTACACATATAATATACCATTTAGCAGACACGTTTTTCCAAAGCCACTTACAGTCATGCGTGCATACATTTTTATTTATTTTTTTGTGTATGGGTGGTCCCGGGGATCGAACCCACTACCTTGGCGTTACAAGCGACGTGCTCTACCAGCTGAGCTACAGAGGACCACACAGTTCGTATACTAAATGCAACATATTTGTTCAGACCACCAGAGTTCTGCTGGTTGCTGCTATTTTCTCTGTCTATGTTCAAATGGCTCGAATGCAAATGATCCACTGGCGCCAACCAAATGAACCAGCCATAGGACATGACAACATCAGATAATAAATCACATAGCAGGCTACTCACTCACTGGTCTTAAACAGCGGTTGTCTCTAACACAGATTATCATCATCAGCCGGTTGGCCCAGCGATGGAGCGGCTCCCCACCATCTCCATAACGATGACGCTTGGCCCTTTGCTCGGGACGAATCGCACGGGCCGGGCAGGTGTCTACTAGGTTCCCTCCCGCCTCCCTGCTGCGTAAAGTCGCGTGTGGGCACGCTTCAAGTCGTTTGTGGAGCGCAGCGTTAAGGGAGGGAACAGTAGCTGTGAAAATAACACTTGAGATGCTGATAATGGTAAGGAGACAGAATTATATTGATGTCCATATTATCCATGGGACATTTATATTGCTGACTTCACTTGAACTTCAATAAGCTACAAACAATAATAGTTAGGCTATTCCTAATAAAATCCCATAACATAAATAATACGTGTAGCTACAATTCAATATTTATCGAAAAAAAAATACAGAAGAAAAAAACACAAACCTACTCTGACAACTAGTTGGATTAAAACTCCTTAATTTGTCTCCTATAAAATCCTATATATGGGTTGATGTTGTGCTCCCGCCACCGGAAACTATGATATAGGCCTAATAACAAAAAGGCGCTCTGCAAGGTTATGGCACTCAGTATGTAGCCTGTGTATTGCCTATAAATCTCATCAAATGACAGTCGGCCAGTGAAGAGTTAAATGGAGGAGACGCCTAGTGACACGCCTCATTGGGCATATTATGTGCTGCAAACAAAACGTGTGTGTGTGTGTGTGTGTGTGTGTGTGCGTGCCAGACAGCCAGTGCATCGCGCCCCTTCTACATGCCTCTCCCTCTCTGCTCACACTCTCTCTCTCTCTCTCTCTCTCTCTCTCTCTCTGCCTCTCTCTCTCTCTCTCTCTCTCTCTCTCTCTGCCTCTCTCTCTCTCTCTCTCTCTCTCTCTCTCTCTGCCTCTCTCTCTCTCTCTCTCTCTCTCTCTCTCTCTCTCTCTCTCTGCCTCTGCCTCTGCCTCTGCAGCGAAGGACTATATCTGCGGCACCACTGTCACTTTCACGACCACACAGGGACATGTACTGACGCGGAGAGGAGGACGCACCGACACCTGCTCTCCAAGGCGGCGTATTAATTCCAGCATCACTTCTGTGGATTATTATTTATTTTCAACAAAAAGGTACGTAGCCTACAGCCTACATTTGGTATGCGCTTAATGGGTGGTTTGTTGGGGAATGAGAGAACGACAGGCAGACACCACCACAAAGTAGTAGCGTAGGCAGCATCCTGGCTGCGGTCTATGAATGGACCATCGTGTAAGGCTGGCTACAGCTCTCGGCAGATGTAGGGGGGGCGAGGAGACAAGCGGCAATTTAGCTCTTGCATTGATCTAGGACAGTTTTTTAGACTGACAAGGCACCCAGATTTGGGAGTAAAACACGCTCTGAAATAAAAGGCAGAAGGTCGAATGGGTTGGCCTCATCCGTTTTATGGTGGGCATACATTCCGCCTGCTATTCTCTCTCATTTAGCTCAGATGCATATTCATTGGACCTTTTGTGTGGTTTTTCCCTTGTGAGAGAGCGACCTTTTAAGTCACAAAAGAACCGGCTATATAGGGGATGGGAGCGAAAAATGGCTTTTCTGAAAGCGTTAGGTCTCTAGTTGAACGGCTGCATTTGGTGGATAATATAGAATTGCCTAAATAAGAGGAGATTATATTGCTCCAAACTATTTTCTCTCCACCAATCCAGCTGAAGAGAAAAGTTACTTTTGTTTGAGGGCCGGAACGTTTCTTGAATGATAATATTTGAGTAAAGAGGTCTGAAAGAGGATAACTCCAGTTGATTTTGCTTTTAGTCTTTAGACACAATAAGAAAATGAATGGAAAACAAATGATCCATCATCACACAGCAGAAAAGGAGCAACATCTAATGGAATGGTGACACGTAGGCCTGTGCAATATTATATTCAACTTGTCAGTGTTTTAAAACCTTGTTGTTACATGTTTAACATGAATGCCGAATTATCTTTACATGCCAAATGTTATTAAGTATAAGTTCATAATCTCTTGAGATCTACACGCACGTTTTATATAGCGTGAAGGGGGGTACGCCAAGGTAGCACGATTTGGAAGAAAAAATAAATAAACGCATTATCTGTTGAATAGCATATGTGCATAACGTTTATATCGGCCTAGCCTATAAAATGACATAACTTGCAAAAATAACACATGGAATTAGATAATACGACGTGCAATCAGTATCTTTATAACATTCTATTATTTACCAGATATTCCTCTAGACAAGCTGTTTTAGCAATACACGCAGTGTCCACCGTTGTGTTCTTCGGGCCTAAGCTTAATTGAATTAAACATGTGGCAAAGCAAATGTATATAGATCACAGCTGCATAATGCGGTGCAGGCCAGAGGAACTGGTCTTCACGTCACCGGTAAATACACACATTCAGAAGGTAAATTAGAAGGAAAAAAATACTCCTTGAGCAGCCTTAATTACAGTCTCGAGAGGGAAAGTGGTGGATTATGGTAATGTGTGGACATACATTCAGAGCGCGTGTAGAATGGAGCGAAAGGTTAGATGACATGAAATCAGTGACTTTGACAGTCCACTCCAAATCCATTCGATATGCTCTAATTTATACGGACCTCACCATTTCTTACTGCAATTTTTTTTTTCTTCCACAGGCTATAATTAGTTTACACGCTTTTAGAAATGAGGGTTTGAGGTGGATGTAGCTGCAGTTTGAATTTCCAATAGCCTATAATAAAAACATTTGTAATAATAATACAATGACAAACGTAATTAATATTATAATTATCAACAATAATTTGGAGGCAGGGATAATGTATTATTATAATTGGCATTATTATCATCCAATTGATGTGCTATTGTTATTGTTGTTGTTGTTGATGTTTTTCATTATTAGGCATTATTATTAACATAATAATTAATACCGTTGTTACTATTCCGTTTAGACCCGTGCAATTATTTCCTCACAATTACCAGCTATTCCAACAGCACATGGGAATACCACGGGAAATAGGCAAGCAACCATGCTCTTTGAAATGGATAGGCCGCTCTCATCGTACAATAGACTTCAATTAATTAAAACGCCCGGTCCCCCCCAAAAAAAGGCCCTTTCCCAGTCCAGCCCGGCCTTGACAGCTGGCTCCATGTATTTAGCCAACCTTCTCATGAAGTGCCAATTTATTTGACCTCCTCATCATCGAGACCATTTGTATATTGTATTTTTATTCATTCTCTCTCTCTCTCTCTCTCTCTCTTTCTCTTTGTCTGTCCGCAACCAACAGCCAACGATGGATGAATCCAGCTCACATAAGTTGGTTTGGGACGGCGACGCCAAAGCCGTGCAGCAGTGTCTAACGGATATATTCACCAGCGTCTACACCACGTGTGACATTCCGGAAAATGCAATTTTCGGCCCTTGTGTATTGAGCCACACGTCGTTGTATGACAGCATAGCCTTCGTAGCACTCAAATCAACGGACAAACGAACTGCGCCGTACATATTCAGGGTAAGGAAATAATACTATTGTGATTTTCGAGAATGATAATAGTGATAATGTTCTATATTTACGATTTTATTACATCTCCTTATTCAGACTGAATTAAATTGTCTGCCATGGTTGATTTATCATTAGGTCTATTGCACCCAGAGTAGGCGACATTGAAGATACAAATATGTTTTTTCATTTCTATTTCTTATGACATTGGTGTGACGCCTATATTATTTGTATTAGACCCAACTGGACGTGTTATCTTACAAGATAGCATGCAGGTATAATGCATTTTGATAGTTGCACAACCAAAACACATTCAAAATAGCCTATATATTTATTTTTGGCCACAGCCTATGCGTAAACGGTAAGAATGAATGCTGAAGCACGGACTTCTCGTTTGGGTCCAACTAACGAATTTTCCTCGCTTTCTGTCACCGTTCAACGCGCAGGTGGACACGTCAGCAGCCAACAGCACGTCGGACGGCTTGATGTGGCTGCGGCTCGTGCAGTCGGCGCGGGACCGGGACGAGCAGAACCTCGAGTCCTACGTGAAGAACGGACAGCTGTTCTACCGGTCTCTCCGGAGGATCGAGAAGGACGAGGAGCTGTTGGTCTGGTACGGGAAAGACCTGATTGAGCTGCTGCTGCTCAGCGCGAGTAAAGCACCGGTCAAGGCCAAGGGTGAGTTGGTAGCCTAGTAGCTTGGCCGGGTAGTGGAACAGACCTAGAAGGTTTGCACTGAAGCGTTCCGTTTCAGTTGGCTGTTTTGTAGTTTCGGTCTCGCCTTTCTTGATAATGATCCATCAAAAATAATTCCAATAGTCTTGTAGCTCATATTCAGTTTATATTCAAATTGATAAAAGAGGAAAATAACAGCTTTTGTCAAATAAGACTACATTGTACATTTACAATCATTTACACCAACAGTTGAGGGTAAATAAATTGCGTAAATTAGGTGTTCCAAAAATAAATGCAATAGGCTTATTTCTGTATTTATAATTTATAGTTTACAATAATCAGAAGATGATAGCTCTATTTCAGCTTTACCAAAACATTACAGAACCCACTACTGTTTTTTTAAGGAAGATACTGTATATTAGCAAGCTTTTTTATTCTTTCTGAATGATTTACATTCTTTTCCTTCTGTTCATTTCCAGGGTCCGCTCCCTACTCCTGTCCTGACTGCAACCAGCGCTTCCAGTTTGAGTTCCCCTTCCTGGCCCACCTGAGGTTCCGCTGCACCAAGAGACTACAGAGCATGGCAGCAGGCAGTGTGGACGAGGAGGTCCACAGTAAGGAGCCAAGCACAGAGCGCCCTAACCCCAACACTACCACCACCACACCCACCAGAGCTAGCCCTAAACTGGGCCGCTCGGAGGGGGACAGCGCCAAACCCTCCACAGACTTCCATAACCTAGCCAGAGACCTGGAGAACAGTCGGACCAGTCCGCCGAGTGACCGTGAGGCTGAGATCCGCAGCGAGAGCTCTGGGAAGAGGAAGTTCTCCGATGTGGAGGACAGGGAGAGGGATGGTAGCAGGGCCTCTCTGAGTCTGTCTCAGTCCCTCAAGTCTAAGGAGGAGCTGGCTAGCTCAGCACAGAACTATCGGGGAGTGTACGGCCTGGAGGAGAATCGACGAGGGCCGACGTTCTCCCCTCCAGGGTCGGGGTCCACCGAGTCGGGTGGTGAGGGTAAACGCAGTGCCTTCACTGAGGTCAAGAAGTCTCCACAGAGCTTAAAGACGCACAGTAACAGCGGCAGCACCAAAAACCTCCAGAGCTCCAATGCCGAGAACAAGGACGGAGGTCGGCCCAGCCCGGGCAGCAACCCTCCCCAGGAGAAGCATCTCAACATCAGGCAGGTTCTGTCAGAGACCCAACCTCCCCAGTCCCAGACCCGCATGGAGTCCTCTCCGCTCGGGAGCGCCTTCACCTCCGTAGTCCAGCAGGGTGGGGGCAATGGCGGGCAGAGGAAGAGCGCCTTCAGCCAACCCTCCCGCCACTCTACCTCCTCCTTCTCCCAGATCTCTCCTCTGGTCATGACTACGCCCAAACTCCTGGACTGCCACCCGGCGGTGGGCGACACCATCTCTTCCTCCAGACTCTACCAGGCAGACCACCTGGCCGCCAAACTCCACGGCGCAGAGCTGGGCGCCAACTGCCCAGTGCCAGGAGCCATGTCCAAGCAGAGCCCGTTCCTCTACGCGGCGGCTGCAGCCACAGCCTTCTGGCCCAAGAGCCAGGGCCCCATCCAGCTGCAGATGCCCTCAGCGCTAACCTTACTACCACCCTCCTTCACCTCTCTGTGTCTGCCCGCCCAGAACTGGTGCGCCAAGTGCAACGCCTCCTTCCGTATGACCTCTGACCTGGTGTACCACATGAGGTCGCACCACAAGAAAGAGTTTGCCATGGAGCCAATGGTCAAGAGGAGGCGTGAAGAGAAACTGAAGTGTCCAATCTGTAACGAGTCGTTCAGGGAGAGGCACCACCTCTCGCGTCACATGACCTCCCACAACTGATTTTTAGATCAATAACATACCGTTTTCACACATGCTAGGGCGAGCTGAACTAAGCTGAGCCGAGCCGAGCTGTACTGTACTGCACTGGCCTGGTTACGGAATTGCATTTGATTAAGAAACCCTTGCTTGAAAGGACAGTGTGTAAAGAATATACGGTAGGCGAAGCAGAACAGTAAGGTTTGGCCATCCACTGAAGCTTCTGGGACGGACCGTAAAAGACAATGGGAAAATAGTATACCCCTGCCAGGCCAGCACAGCACGGTTTGGGTCAGCACAATAGTGGGAAAGGGGTATCACATCACAGACCATGGGGAGAAACTTTTTTGCTGACTGACTGACTGACTGACTGACTGACTGACTGACTGACTGGCTGACTGACTGACTGACTGACTGACTGGCTGACTGACTGACTGACTGACTGACTGACTGGCTGACTGACTGACTGACTGACTGACTGACTGACTGACTGACTGGCTGACTGGCTGACTGTCTGGCTGACTGGCTGACTGGCTGGCTGTCTGGCTGGCTGACTGGCTGGACATACACCACTTAAAGGAGCACTTGTTTTCAACACAGACAGTTGTTATGTTCCTTGAGTTTGTTTTTGGTTTCTTCTTCAAATGTCATGTTTGTTTATTTGAGTGTATGCAAATGCTTTTTTGACTTGAGAAATGAATCTATTTATCTTATGAAGCACTTACAATTTGGGAAATAAGGGACGATAAGAATATGTGTATTTAAATGTACAGTAAGTTGTATTTTATATTATATAAAGACATATATAGAAAATGATAAATAAAAACAGTTGCATTACATGGTTTACTATTCAATACGTTTTTTCATGTCCACCTTAAAATGTTGAATAATATTGACACAAACTGGGATATGACGTCAAACAGACTGACTATATTTCAGAGTGCATGTGTAATAATGCTTATTGATATAAATAAGATGCAGTCTATACAGTTACAATGTAAATACCTGTTTTGTTTGAAATACAAAGTGTAATATTTTGTGTCAGTGGGGAATACAGTAGTTTCAGTGTTTCTTCCTTCATGCTGAAATGTACTACTTGATAGTTTACCTAATCATGTTGAATGCTTTGACAATAAAATAGCTTTATTTTCATCTCTATGTGTGGAACCTGTGTTTATACAATATAACAATGTAAAGAAATTACATTTACCAAGGTTGTAGATAGGAATATAGACAATCGATATGAATCCACATCATACATGACTACAAAGGGTTTAAGGTGCCTAACTATATCATATATATATATATATATATATATATATATATATACTATATCATAGACCTACTTGGAGCTCGTCGTGTAATGCGAATATTATCTGGTCAAAAGATTAGCTAATTCTTTTAAAACAAGTAAATGTTTTAGGCTGAAAATGGTCATAAATCCATCTCAAAGACATGACGATCACTGTATTATGGTCCCACGTTTAATTCAGCCTTTGTACATATAAAGAGTAGGCCTTCTGTTTCGCCCATTCGTAAAACGCTGCGTTGGCTAATAAAACAATATGATATTGTGGCCCAGGATGTAGTCTAGTCTAGTGGCCCAGGATATATGAAAAGAAGATCAGGCTTCTGACAATTAAAACATATTTTCTGCAGTCCTATTCTGTAATCACACGAGGGGTGTAGGCTTAGTGTAGTCCATGTCTGCATTGTCGGATTGTCCTGATCCCGAGAGATCTGGGCCTCGTTTCCCAGAGCATTTGTAGCGTTAAAAATCATAGTTAGAACCATCTTACGATGTATCTTTAGTAGCCGAGCTGTTTCCCAGAGTCTTCGTCAGTAACATGCTTCGTTAATAGCGTGGCTCTTAAAAATCTTCACACATCTTTGAGTGATCCAGACCAGAGTTTCCCAAACTCGGTCCTTGGGCCCCCCTGGGTGCACGTTATGGTTTTTGCCCTAGCACTACACAGCTAATTAAAAATAATCAAAGCTTGATGATGAGTTGGTTATTTGAACCATCTGCCCCAGGACCGAGTTTGGAAACCCTAATCCAGACCACTCATAGAGCAGGCAAAGTGCATCATTAGGTTTTATCTCCGATAAACATAGAGAACCAAGAGGCTATCTGTCTGACTGTGACTGCGGACAACTTCAGAACGAAGTTAACTACAAATACACAGTTCCCAAAGTTTGTGCAATTGTTACAAACAAGCGAAGGATAAATCAATGCTTCCAATAAAAACCGAGATGACTGCATTATACAATACATAGGCTACATGAGCCTATATAGGCTATTTCAATCATATTTAAATCAATTTCACGTTCAATCAATTGAGTTATAGTTTGCGACAAGGCTACTGTCTGTAATTTGTGCCTCAATGTGTTTCATGGTGTGTGACAACATGTGCGCAATGATGTGCCCAATCTGGGATTCAGCCTAGTGCATTATTATTGGGGAACCATAATAAGCCTCCTCAGTAGCCTATTTGCAGCCATAGGTGGTAATATCTCCCTAGGAGCTGATCCGTCTTCATTATTGTGGAATAATTATATTGTTAAATTAAGATTTGAATGGAAAAAGCAGATTAGAGAGCCGGGAAGCTTTTCTTTCCATCCTTTCAGTATCGACACACGATCTAATGACCCATTGCGAACGTTCTCTGTCTCTACATGATTGTTTGGGAAACGCTTAAAAAGTTGGCTCATAAATAACGATGCATCTGGTACGATCATCGTAACGCTTAAATTCCATCGCAACTGGGAAACGAGGCCCTGTATAATCATGATCATAATAATCATAATCATAATTTCACCAGAAATATTATATTTTTACTGTTATGTCATGATTTCTTTATGATTAAGTCAAATGAAAATCACCATTATTATTATTGCGCTGCACAGCGCAACACAGAATTAGGTATATCGTATCTCTAGATAAAGTAGCATAATACAAATAATAGCTGATATACAGCGAGAAAAGCTTTCTCCAAGAAAAGTGCTATAGCAGCTCTCCATGGCTACTTCATGGGCGCAAACAGCTTCAAGTGGAATAAAAGCACGTTCCCTCCCTCCCTTCCCACAAGAAGCAATGCAGAACCTGTACTAGTACAGTTCTTCTTCTGTATTCGCCTAATAGTTGTACTTTTATTTACTTCTAATGAAAATAAAAATGTAATTATCGATGCCTTCACCGTATCAGGCTACCAATGGCATCTCGTTAAATCCACAGAATATCAGCAACCACACCTGCAAATGTTTTCGATGAATAAAATAATAAAATTAGATAAAATTGAAGAAGAAAAAAATATCAACCACTACTAATGCCTGACGCATTGCAAATGATCATACCCGTCTCGTGTATTTTTTGATAACCCCCTAGGCCTACTTTCCGTTTCTCATAAGCTTATAATAGGCCTACTGGCTACATCTAATAAAATGGATATAAGAAATCCATTGCATTACATTAAAATCTATTATTCCACGTGAAATCACAAGTCCTGTCTTTTTAGGGGTGTGCGTTGATTTACAGCGACATTAAGTTTCCTTTTCAGTAAAGTGCAGTTAGAACACATGTCCGCTATTTACACTTTATGATCATGAACAAATGCAAAACATGTGTAAAACAAGGTGAATGGAATACAGCCTAGTCCTACCCATGGATTGAAATCCACTAAAGCCTAGGGGGATGCTTAAAAATATAGATTTAAATTATAAAACGAATGAAATTATTAGGATAAAATCGTTATTATTGTCCAGTAGTTTAGTCTAGTGATCATTTGCATTTTATAAAGGGGAGAAAGACGCACCGTTGGGAACCCTGAAGTAGACGCTGAAACGTCGAAATATAGCTCAACAGTGACATCAAGCGGAGAGAGTGTGAATTACAGACAATTCTACAGCAGCAAATGTCATTGTCCTCAGAGCCAGCCCTCAAACGGCGACAAATGAATTCCCACCTTTATCTAGCAATCACTCACAGAGCCAGGTGGACATAGCACAGTCCTCAACACATATCAACAATTCACTCTGGAGGTGAATAGATCATAATTGTAGTTAATTATTAAGCATCTGTCATTCTGGTGGACTTAGGCTACATATTGTCTCTCCATGGATCATATGAATACTCCACTGTGAGGTCCTTTTACACCACCAGTCAGTCACAAATGCATTATGGACATTATAGTCAATGTAGAGTAAATCCTAACCAAACCAACAGCTATAGATCTAAAACACCTATCATTTGTCAATGGAGTAAACAGGTCAATTGAAAAGAGACAGAGTGATAGACAGATACTGTTGAGAGTGAGAAATCTCCATTACCCCCCCACCACACACAAACACCACCACACACACACACACACACACACACACACACACACACACACCACACACACACACACACACACACACACACACACACACCACACACACACACCACACACACACACACACACACACACACCACACACACACACACACACACACACACACACACACACACACACACACACACACACACACACACACACACACACACACACACACACACACACACACACACACACACACACACACACACACACACACAGTATTGTGTGGGTAAAATCACTAGGGAAGCCTGAAAAAAAGCCATATTACAACCTATGTGTTGTGATAATTGCGTTGTTTGCTCTGTAACCTGTTAGTTCATATGCCTTGACACCGTGATATAGAGGCCTAAAGGCCGAGACAATAAGACAGAGTGGCAGAATAAATTAAACCACACCTTTGTTTCATCACAAAAGCGGAGAGCAACATCTATCCGGTGGGAGCAACATCTATCCGGTGGAGTCCACAAAGCATATTGTGGACTCCCCCCCCACTAGCCTGTGATATTTAATGCCCCATGCTTGGCTGCTGGTGTCCCCACCAGCCTGTGATATTTAATGCCCCATGCATGGCTGCTGGTGTCCCTACCAGCCTGTGATATTTAATGCCCCATGCATGGCTGCTGGTGTCCCCACCAGCCTGTGCTATTTAATGCCCCATGCTTGGCTGCTGGTGTCATTGTTCCCTTTCCTGAGCCTCTCCTGTCACATATGTCCCTACATTACTCAGCGCTGTGGAGGTGGTTTTAGTACGGTGTTGCTAGCCTTGCTGGCTCACTAACACATTTCTCTCTCTCTCTCCTCTCTCTCTCCTCTCTCTCTCTCTCTCTTCCCTCTCTCTCTCTCTCCTCTCTCTTCTCCTCCCTCTCTCCTTTCTCTCTCTCTCTCTCTCTTCTCTCCTCTCTCTCCTCTCTCTTCTCTCTCTCTCTCTTCTCTCTCTCTCTCATCTCTCTCTCTCTCTCTCTCTCTCTCTCTCTCTCTCTCTCTCTTAAGGGCTTTTATTGGCATGGGAAACATATATTACAGTTTTTCTCAATTGTTTACACACAAATACTGGTA